TTACTATTTTTCTGTAACGAAAAAGTCGTCGAGTGCAAAGGGTTAATAATTGAAATTACGGAGCTTATTATAATTTGCAGGGAACTAATTGCATTGAGTTGTATAGCGAACGGTATATGAAGATTATTATTAGTGAAATGTACACTGATGGAAATACAAAGAAAGGATGCAGGTGTCTGTAAGGGTTCTAAGGACTTATGTGTTCTATACCACTTCGGGTTTGGAACTGAAGGATTCTAGAAAACAGGTTGCCTTTTAAACACAAATCTGGAAGACGACCCCTCGAGTCCAGTATAATATCGAAGGGTCTTGAGACCCAAAAATTACTACTAACCTCAACGTTCAGCATGTCGGACCTCATCGTTGCTATGGTTTATTCCAACATTGGCTATTCGTTGTTAAAAAGTGTCACTTTCGTCCGTGCACCAGGCGTTTTAATGGTGTGGTAGAAATAGGTATGTAGTAATGAATAGGTTGAAGATGAATTTTATGCATGTTGGCTTACACCAAACACTAAATCTACCAGGGTCAAAATTACCGTGAATGATGAATGAAAAAGAAGCAGAACCTTAAAAAATAATAAAGAATATTGCGAGACATTGGAAAAATGATCAAATATATAGAGTATGTAATTTTTAGTGTTAAAAATGCGAATGACTTCTTAATAATTTGGAGGCATAATAGAAATTCCAATACTATCACTATATTGCGTAACAAAAATTTATGTGCCAAATATGTACCATTTTATTGTAATAAACATGTATATTTACGTACCAAAGATCATTTTCCGAGTATACAGACATGGCTGAGCCATCTTTTATCTCCTGAGGACCAATGTTTTTAGATCCAGTCCACCATCGAATTTATAGAACGCGGATTGTATAAGCTTTCCACCGATATCGCTGTTCTATCGCGAGGAGCTTCCCAATTTTAAGGAACCTTCGGATCACAGATAATGGAACGGTGGTCATAATTTTGTTCAAGGTTTAGAAGGTCTCGCGCGAGGTCGACTGCGGAGCAACGTCGCGTAAATTAATTAATCTTATTTTGTTACGGTCGTGGGGTGACCGTGGTCGTAAACCGTGATACGCATTATTGCGAACGAATTCGTGCGAATGAAAAAAACAGGAACAGATACGCTCCACCGACGGTTTTCATTTCCATAATAGGCCTGTCCCGCGAGACATCGCGAGCGTGTTCCGCCATCGGCGAATTCGTCTCAAAAGTGCAATTATATCGGAGTATTTCGAGCGTGTATATATATATATATATGGCATATTAAATGAGTCAGAGATGAGAAAATAAATAACCATTCCGGCAGCGTTTCTTGAATCGTCATTGAACGCGTATTTACTTTGAAACTTGGAAACTCGGTTCGCGTGGAAATTATTTAAAGCCTGCGCGAGCGCCGGTGTTTGTCGAAATTAATGAATTAGGCGCGGTAGAGGTACATATTAATAAATATTTAACCGAGGCAAACATCGAACAGGTCGTGCGATTATTTTTCGTTTGATGCTTCGTACATGCTGTAACGAAAGTTAATTAAGCCTCTATTTGTTCGATTTACGCGACAAGTCTTCGCGTATAAATTCGCTATACGCGCATTAGACCATAGAGAGACATATTTGCGCGCAGCCGCCATATTGGTATCCCGAGCGAGGGATATATTGGTATAGGGATATTGGTATGGCGTGGAAATCGAGTTCACCTTGTTCGTCGTAGAATAGAAAACTAAAAATAAAAATAGAATAGAAAAATGTTTTAGTTTTGCCGGCGATGCCACCGATATTGCGGACAGAACGTTTACGCATACCTTAAAGCGACGATTCGCCGGTCTGCCGTTGAAAAAGGAATCGCACGACAGACGTTCTACGGTTTCATTTACCGGTTACGCGAGTTTCTTCGCGCGCTTTTATCGCGTGCCGTAGAGGCTACCGCGCTACACGCGTCACTGCGAGCGGAGGACTCGCGAGGAATCGGCGATACGACGGAAGAGTGGGCAACGAACGAGCCTGTCCTCGAAGCGTTTTGTCACCGCGACGTAGGAGGTATCGGTGAAATTTTATTCATCGGCTGCGCCGGATTTTTCACGCACTTTGATCCTTCGCGACGCGTGACCGGGAACGTCGACGAGCTGGTCGGGAAAGAAAAGAAGGCCCGAGAATGGCGCGAGCCAAGAAACGCGGGTAACCATAGATCTTTGTCTCGCGACGCGGAGGAATGGTAACCTAGACTCTTTTTCTGAGGGGTACCGTTTTTGCTGCACGCCGCGTTCAATGGTATTACTCGGAAGCGGGATTTTTTTCGCCCGCGACACCGTTCCCGTACGTCGACTCGATCCTCCGCGGCGCGGCATTTACTCGCGCGATCCGCTCCGCGCCGCGCCGCGGCGAAACGTCGTCGATCGATTCGCGACGCGCGACCCGCGAGCGGCGACGCGTAAAAATGGAAAGCGGAAACGGGAGAAGTGGAAGCGGCGCGTGGCTCCGGGGCGTCACGCCGTCGACGGTGAAATATCCGCGGCAGCATGCCCGTTGCACCGTTACGCCTATCGATAACCAAGGAAAAACCGCTAACGTAATCTCTCGGGTTAAATTTTACGAGTATTCGTAACACGCTCGCGGTTCGTTGAACCGACTTACGCCCATAGGAATTGTCAGAATCATGCCAGTTATTTCGAGAACGTTTGTTTCACGTATGTATGTACTTATCGTTCCTATTGTTGCCTCATCGTACGAACCTTTCGTATATGCCAAAAGCGAGAAGGATGGTTTATCGCTGAATCACAATTCCCAGTCAAACATCGCGTATCTCCGGGCTTTGCGTACGCGTCGTTTGTAAAGGGCCGTTTTGCATCTACGTGCGAGCAAACAGGCCCAAGAGACACGGTCGGTATTAAATAAAAATGCAAGATCGGGTGCTAAGAGTACCCCCTCCACGCCGAATTGTGCCATTATGACGCTCAGCCTTCGGTACCATTTATACCTGCGAGCTTTTAAATGTCGCACGTACACGCGAATGACCCGGCGAATGCACCGAGATCGCAGATCCTCCCGCACGATCTCGTGCGTGGATAGACGCGCGTCCGTAGGCGAGATGGAGAAAAGAAGCGGCAAAAATCGGGCATTCGAGGTGTCCCGAAAAAGGAGGGCACTCGTGGCCGTGGCCGAACAGACTCTTCCTTTTTCGATCCGTTTCTCGGGGATGCGTCTCTCCGTGCACCGGCTGGTGCATCGTGACGGGTCGTGCATCGTGCGTGAACACGTGCGTGGCGGCGCGTGTGCGTGCACACACGCGCCGAGGGATGCGTCGACGGACCTCCGCCTCCTTCCTCCTCGGATCCACCACCACCCTGCGGACCTATATATTTCCCGGAGGGTCTCCCACTTTCGCCACTATCATTCCTGTCGCGGCTGCGCCAGCCCGTGAGCGCGCAAACGTGAGTTCGCTCTCGGCTTTCCTCCTCGGAGTTTCCTCGCTCGCCGATTACGCGCCAACACCTGTCTTCTCTCGCGTTTTCCGTGTCGTTTTTCCCTCCCCGTCGATCATTCCTCGAGAAAAACGCGTCGTTCGGTGCAACCGCGTTGCCGCGAGTTCGTTAGTGCCGTTTCGAACCGACTCGTTCGAGCCGAGTCGTGTCGATCTCGATCGGATCGCGAACGCGCGGGAAACGATAATTAATCGATCGTGCGTACACTTCGATATAGTCGTCTCGCTCTCGCCTGGCGGTCTCGTTAGAATTGCCGATCGCGCGATCCGGTCAACTTTTTTCCGTCACTCGTGTTTCTCGGAAATGTGTGCCACGTGTAGTGAGCCCGCGAGTCCACCTGCTGCTCCTACTGAATGGGATTAGATGAGGCACGACGGTACGTCAAAGTGTTTGTTGAATCTCATTTTATCTCTCGATGCTGTTCGCGGGAGCTTCGTCGTGTCGAAACTTCAAGGTATTTCGCTTGACAACGATGCCACGTAGTGAGATCGGCTACCGTCCACGAGGTCGGTGTTTGCATCTCGTGAGTCTCGTTGCGTAAAGGGATATTAAAAATATCGCTGGTAGCCAGTCTCGATCGAAGAAGACGCGAAGGGGAAAACGTATCGATGGAAACGAAATGCGAAAGAGCGGATGTAGACGTGACAAATTTTACGAGCGATTTTCTAACGGTTTATCACGAGCATGTTTGGTTTCCGATATCGAGCAAGAACGCGCGAGAACGCGCGAGAAGGCGAGTGGAGGCGCATTCTTCACAGCTGTTCATACAACGAAACGCGCGCGCAGTCGCGAACAAGAAGCCGTGAATATACGTAGACGCCTTTCTTTATACGACCGTTCGCCAACAAGCGACTTAATATATCGTCCTGTAAATTACTTCGACCGTTATCCGCGCGTCCTCGTAACTCCGAATTTTTCCGCTATTTTAGAACGGCCCCGAACGATCCATCGATCGTCACCGGCCGCGCAAAAAGCGACAGCTAGGAAAATAAATCAGCCTAGGCTGTTCCTTTGCATTGCCACGCGTTGGTCCACATACATAATTCATCGGTCTTTTTATCAACGTCGCGACCGATTCGCGACAATATTCTTTTCTCCCGCACGAACGCAAAAGTCATCGACTGCCCGACCGGTGTCGCGTCTTTGAAAACACGCCACGCGATCACTCGCGATTTCTCGGCCGCCTTTGAGCGCGCGTGGACACCGGGATCGAAGGCACGGAGAAATCTCTCGGAGAGGTAGAATTATCGAACACCTTCCCGATCAGCAGATCGCACGGCAAGGGTTTATTACGCAATGAGAGAAGGTAAAACTTAGAGCCGAAGCCTGGGACTTAAGGCGATCAACGTTAACCGGTCTAAAGCCGTCCTTCGTGTTTCCGCGCGCGGTGCACAGTGATTTGTTGCGTCCTTCTTACGCCCTATATCATTCAGCTGGTAATGAGCTTTGCCTTTAACGTATCGCGACGTTTCTCATGCGCAGGATGGCCTGAGCCTCGGAGCAAATCTTCATGGATCGTTCACGAAAATCGAGGAATGACCGGTCGCAGTGGAGTCCCGCGGAAGTGCCGTGGCGCAGACGATGCGCGCCGCGACGCGCCAACATTACCGTCAGGAATTTCGGGTAAGTGATCCGTTTCAAAACCATCTCCGTTTTTCTCCAAAATAAACACCCACGCCTCGCGCGATCTGGATCTGGCCTGGTCCCGCGATCGGATCCACGTCGCGACGAGTGTTTAATTATTCGTGGAACTCGTCGTATTAGATTTCTCCGTTATTAGCTTAGATTTTCTCACCCGATCGGCGATGGCCGATCTAAAGCGACGTCTGTGTTTGAACAACCGCTCGTGACCAGCGCCGTTGTTTAACGACCACCCGCAAATGACGCTCGGCAAACGCGTAAATACTCGCGACGTAATCGGGGACCAGGCGTTTTGTTTAAAAATCCGACCCGATATCGCGCGTTGGAAACGCGAAACCGTAAAGGAGGCCCGATCGGATTCGGAGCGTTCCTAACTCGTTTGCCGAGATCGAAGTGGCGTCACGAGTCGATGAAATACGTAATCGAGCACCTCAATTAGAAGCGGACCGTTGCGACAGCTGAGCGATTCCGGTTATCATCGGCTCTCGACGAAAACTATCCTCTGGATACGGCACTGCGTGCCCTATATCCGGGCTCCGTGCTTCCGTTTCGTAACCGATCTCGATTAACGTTTATTTCCCAACTTGGCGTCTCGGCTAATCGGAGAGGGAAAAATTCGAATGGATCGCGATATTAAAACGTTGACGCAAGCTCTCTCTCTCTGTTCCTCTCCGTCGAAGGCTGTGGAGATCGGTTGAAACGTTTAGCCCGGAACACGATACTGGAACGAGCGCGCGAGTAAACAGCACGATCGAGCGCGACGCGAAATTTGTACACGATTTGTATCGCGGATCCCGTAACCGCGAGCGTGCGGTTCGTGGAGGGAAAATGGAAAAAAAGGAGGGAAAGAAGCGGAGCCGAGAACAACCGAAACACGATTGCCCCTCGATAACTCGTCGTTTTAACGAGGATATCTCCCTCCCCCGTGCCGTACCGTGGCTACACCGGCAGTTTATTTTAATACGGACACCTCGTAATAATTCTCAATGTACATCGTACCGAATGAACGGACATCAATCCTTGCCCTCGTTACTTTCGATGCTCCGGGCAGAGGGTCCCTTGTTATCCGCGCAGTCTCCTTTGTACTGCGTGCATGCCAATGTCCGCGCATAATTACCGGTTTCGATTACCGATCGACCACGGCAAGTGCGCCGGATTTTCCCTCCGTGTTGGCAAACATTTACCCTAACCCTCTTACCCTTTCTTTTATCCGTTTCTCGATCTCTCGCGCGTGTTCCACACTGCGTCCCCCGTGCCTTCGTTCCTGCTCCTTCACCGCGATAATCGCCGTTTTCCTCCCTTCCTCCGCTCTTTCCTTTAATTATACCTCGCATACGCGCGCATACGTGTGCCTACGTACGCGGCATTCGTCGGATATGGCCGGTAATCCTGAGCGAAACGTCGAGATAAAAGATTTCGCGGCACGACGATCGAGCGAGTGTATTAACATACCGTCGAATAACGCGATTTCTCGGCGACCGTAACGCGCGATTCCCGGCTTCGAAGTCAAAGCACCGACGCGTCTGGCAGCGCGCGGCCCTCGCTGATAACCGTGAAAGTAACTCATGCATCACACCCTGTGACGTTAATCCCTCGGGCCAGGGGTTGGACGGGCACCCGAAAGGAGAGTGCGTGGAAGGGAAAAGGCGTCGAGGAAGGAGAAGCCACGCGAACAATGAGCAATCTGTAGCGGACATGTACGGTAATTATGTCGAGTCTAGACGCGCGCGTGCGATTATATATCCCTTCCGTGGATCACATGCGGTATACATTACGTACGGTATGTGGTCGAGATTGCCGTGGCTCGCGTGTGTGTACGGGTCCGTTCCCGACCGTGATAATACGCCGCGAAGGAAAAATACGACCCGTCCGACTCGTCGGTCGAGAAAGTTTTTGCTCGCCTTGAAAACTTTTCGTCGCGACGTCCTGCCGCTCGATAATTATGCTCGTCCCTTTCTTTTATTTTTTTTCCCCTCCCCGAGTTTCGACCACGCTGTCGGGCACCGATCCCCGCGATTTTCACAGTCCTCCGCGCCGCCACGATTTATCTTTTTTACGCCACTGCGGCGCTTCACTGTTGCCACCATTTTCCTCGCGACTACCGTTTCCGATCCGATTAATTGTTCCTCGTTAAACGCCTCGGGACGACGATTTACGAGCACTCGATAGAGAAGCGTTTCACCTACACCGCTAATTTTCTCCTCCAGTCACGAGCCTTTCCGACCCGGATCGGACTTAACGAGCACCCCGTTCGGGTTCGCGTGGTGTGTAATACTCGCGTGTGCCCGCGTACGCGTGCCATTACGAGGCCCCCGTATAAGCGCGGAGAACTTACACCCCTGCTGCCTTTTTATATCCCCGTATCGGACTCGAAGCTTGCATCGAGGGTCGGAGCAGAGCGAATTTGCAATTTCGCGCTGATACGCCGCGAACCAGTTTGCGGGCTGGAATACGCGTAGAATTCTTCTTCTTCGCAAGGGGAACGACTTTCGAAACGTCGACACGCGTGGTCCCCAAATTTTCCTGGCCCAGAAACGACGAAACGGTACCAACGTCTCGAAAGCGAGGACGCTCGTGTGGAATGACGATTATTTACGAAGCGCGTGCGAGATGGCAGGTCTAGTGGCAGGAAAAACACGCGTGCGGTGGCGAAAAAGCTCGAGGACGAGTGGAGAAACAAATAAACGTGCATTAGCCTGGGACCGTGTCAGAAATATGAAGAGCCGGCTCGGCCGCGGATCGAGGTCTACCACCCACTTTGATCCCCGTCGCGGTAACTAGGGGTTGCCGGGGCAGGCGTCGAAAGCTGCTTCTCTGCTCCGTTATTCGTGGAAGCCACGAATCCACGAATCCACGTGTCCTGTTCGTCTCTGCGCTGCTCTGACCGAGTACGAGTACTGTTAATCGGCGCCGAACGACCGGTCGTTCGTCCTCGGTGACGTAGGGCGATCGATCATGCGGTAGCCGATGCGTTTCCGCCCGAAATTCGTGGCGACGATACGCGCTGCTGCCTGGCCGACGAGACGTACGCTCGAGGGCCCGTTATCGAGTGGCTGGCACGAAGAAATCTAAGGACTTATCGTGGATGTATGGCTGAATGGATGAAGGGTCGTCGATGCGCGTTAATTAACGTCAGCCAACGACCGTGATTCGACTTACATCGCTCGGCTCCAGTAGGTTATCGAATGGTATAGAAAGCGGGGGGGAAAAGGAAGGCGAAATAGAAACGTGGATGGAATTTCGTTGGGTCATTCGGGAGCAATGAAACGCACCTTTGAGAGCGAGGAGTATCGTTTAATTACGGATCAGCTGTTTCAGCCCGAGCGTGACGGGCCGACGCGCGTGTGTACGCGCGTGTACGCGTGTCCCGATCGATTTATTTCGAGTATGTATCGAGAGGCTCGCGGCCAGCGGAGCGATCCCATCTCTGGGACCGAAGATAGAATTGCCGTGAAAGGCAGCAATAAACGCGGTCCACTGGCGTACAACGAGTACTATTCATAAGTCTGATGGAGCTAAGGGCCGTAAGACCGCTTCGAGAGTGGCGCCTTCGACCACCTCGTAATTCTCGTCCGGAGACTTTTCTTTTTCACGGAGGCTCACAATTAAGCTCATTATGTACGCACATGTTCGCCGCGTTTCCACTGATTTGCAAGCGTCACGCGACGCTCCGAATGCGACCTTTCCGCTCCATGTACGCGTATATGTATCTCTTTTCGACCGCTTCCCATCCAGCCCAATTGCTCATTGTCGGTTATGTGCTCTGACGGATGAAAGACGAGTATCGAGCGTTCGATTGCTTTTTCTTTTCCTCTTTCTTCTCCTTTTTTCTCTCTTGGATCATTCATCGTCGCGGTGTCGGAGCGTTGAGGCTGCTGTAGCCGTTTCCACGAACGCAACCAGATGTACCTCTGGCCAATTGGTTATCGAGTTTTCGTTAAGTCAATTTCCATGTCGTTATCCGGCTCCGTAGAAAGGGTCACCGTACTCGATTTCGAGCGTGGTTATCATCGCTGTGGTCTGCGCTAATTAAAGAACCTACCTAACCTCTTTCGAGATAAGCTTCTTCTAAGGTTGACGTGAAAGCTACCCAGCGAGAGAATAATTTTTCTACCCACTCGCGCGAATAACGTTTCGCGAAAGAAACACGTTGGAGACGTGGCGGAGTGGACGATGAAGGGAACCGTTATGGAACACGCGAGATCGTAACCAGTGTTTACGCGTGACTTCCGGAAACGTTAACGACGCCGATTACGCCGGCAGGAGCGACATATACGATTGCCATGGCGACCAGAGTGACGTTCGTAAATATTAATTAAATTCCCGACGGAATGGCGCGCTCGGGTCGTGCTTTAATTCCGTTTTTCGAATTCCACCGCGGTTCGAGCGCGCCATGCGCGCGCAATTAGTAATCCTTCCGGGTGGTCAAAGGTGATGGCGCGAAGCGAAAATTAAATCGAAGAACGGGACAAAACAACGAATACACGCGAACTCCTGAACCGTACAGCACCACCGAGATCGTAAAGTCATCGAACAATAGATTACACGGCAGCGAAAACGTTGGGAAATAATTTCAATTGTCAGCCATTTTCATTAAAGCCATTTTTTAACTCGCTGGCAATGGAATCGTTGGTTTCGTGCACGTTATTGTTCGATGGAACAACTTTGCGAAGGCCCCGCTTTCGATTCGTCCATGTCGATTACCTCTCGCGCCGGTTTTGCAGCTTCGGGTTTCCCCGGGAATGGAAAGGCTCGTCTGAAATTAATCTTAGAAACGGCACCCGTCCACGCGAGTGGTTTCTGCTTTTTTGGCACTGACAAACCGCATTATGCTTAACTGCGGTGGTAATGCCGCACGAGTAGCCGCGAGTCATTGACTTTCATTTACATCCATTCCCACCAACGACGGTGCATCTGTCGATTTGCGTGCGCGGCGACGCCATGGGCGAACGGCGGACGCGATTCCGATTAACTCGCGTGCC